AATAGGAAGACTTCTGTGGCTTCAGTGGTTGTGAAAGTGAAGATATCTTTTTGTGGATTTAATGAAAAAATATAAAAAACAAGCACTGCAACATTACAGGTAAAACTAACCACAGACAACTGTAAGATGTATTGCAATCTAAACAGGTTTCAAAATATATAAGACTATATAAAATATGACTGCAAACATGACTGTAATAAAAGTTGACCAAAACTAAATCAGGTTTATTTAAAAACCTTTTCTACAAAATTTTACTCTGAGGGGAGAAGGGGTGTCTTATATACAGGTACAGGTTACATACTAGAAAATATGGTAGACCATTTCCCAGACGATGTAAGATTCTTAGTTTATTTTTAATTATTTAGCTTAGCCAATTTTTACAGTTGCATCCAAAGAAGCATTTACTACTTTGCTTTAGGAATATGTTTATACTTAAAAGAATTCCATAATTAATGTGGAAGAATAAAAGTTTACTTAGCTAGTACTGATATCCCAAACATGTTAAGAAAATGGATGGGATAAACTTCTTGTCCATGTTTATAACTAACTTTCGCATGTTTTACTGCTGCAAACAGATTCCTTTAATCTGCCTTTCATCTTCCTTGTTACCAGACCGGTTGCTTGCTCAGCTGTGCTCTGTGGACATAAAATCACGGAAGTATTACTTGTCCACAGCAAGTGCACTTCTGAGGCCTGCTTCAAATCTAGTTTATCAAACTCCTAGCAGCTGTTCCTGGAAGATGCAGGGCATAAGTCTGTGTATTTTCCATGCACAGAGAAGAATATGGGTGGCTGCAAATGCCAGCCTGTCAGAAAATGTCATTATTAGTCTCACCACAAAAGTCACACACGTATACACAGCCTCCCCCTACTGAAATTCAATTCTCCTTGTGAAAGATTCTTCTGATGTAATTTTTGGCAAAATACATGAAAATCAGTTCTTTTATGTTATTTTTGGCTCTGAAATTACTAAGCCTTCACGAAAAGGTATTAGATGCCTTAAAAAGATTTGAATTGGTTACTATTTTGATTTCAAATTATTATGAACTAAGTATTTTAGTACTTAGATTCCACAAAAACATTTGAACAAAGAGAACGGTGAAAAGCACTTTTGCCACGCTGTCTGTCTGATCTGGGGTCACTGCAATATTCAAGCACATTTCAAGAGGCTGTTGCATTTGTTAGGTGAGAAGGTTCACTGAGTTAAGACTTTCTAACAGGAAAAAGTAAAAATCGTTATTTATACAAATGCAATCATTCCTCAATAAGCTGCTGATTAGTTTCAACCACCTTATTGAGAAAGAAATCCATAAAAAATGAAATGGTTCAAATGGTAAATTTATATAAAGAGCTTGCAAAACTATAGATATACAAATAAGCAACCAGGAAGACATAAGCTCAAACAGTGTAAGAAACAACATTTAAAAATGTATCTGATACAAATAAAACCTAGGTGTGTTCAATACTTGGAAGTGGATATCAAAAGAAACATCACATTTCACTTAAAAACTTCTCAGTACCCAACAGCATAACTGATCTATTTCTGCTGTTGCTGCAAAAGCATTTATCAAGAGTATCTTTAGAAGGCAGGAGATGCAATAACAATAACTGAAATGTTTGTGGTAAACAAATATCAGTATTTTTCCCTGCTTGTGACACTTGTGCAGAGAAATTTAGTTCCAGGAATAGGATTGTTGTAGTCGTGCTTTTTAGGAGGTATAATCTGGAATCTGTCATTTCCCAGCTAGCTATGCAAACTGAGGGAGGAGATAACAAAAGAGATAGGGAGTTTTTGTTGGGTCTGAATGAATTCAAGTCAGCAGAGCCAGATGAACTTCTTCTCAGGGTACTGAAGGACATGCCAAAGGAGATCTCAGAGCCCTTGGGAATGATTTTCATGAAGTTGTCGGAGACAGTCCAGGTACCAGAGGACTGGAAAAGGGCCAACCTAGTGCCCCTCTTTAAAAAAAGGCAAGAAGGAGGACCTGGGGAACTACAGACCAGTTAGCCTCAACTGAATACGTGGAAAGTTACTGGAGCATATCCTAAGGAAGGTCATTTGCAATCATCTGGAAGAGGAAAGGCTTATTACAAGCAGCTAGCACGGATTTATGAAAAACAAATTAGATCAAACAAACCTGATTTCCTTCTTTGACAAAGTAACTACTTGACTGGATGAAGGGTATGTTGTTGTATAGCATATTTGGACTTCAGCAAGGCTTTTGACAAGGTCCTAACATGACCTTCTCATACATAAATTAGAGAAATGTGGTCTTGATAAAACTACTACAAGGTGGATAAATAACTGGCTCAATAGCTGTAAGCAAAGGGTAATTATTAATGGGTCCATGTCAGAATGGCAGGAGGTTTTGAGTGGAGTCCCACAGGGGTCTCTCCTGGGCCCAATGCTATTCAATGTGTTTATTAATTTGGACACTGGCATAGAAAGCTTGAGCAAGTTTGCAGACAACATGAAACTGGAAAGGATTGTGAACATGGAGGATGTGAGCCCGATTCAGATGGATCCTGACAGATTAGAAAGTTGGGGGAAAGCTAACAGGATGAAGTTCAATGTGGACAAAAGCAAAGTGATACACCTTTGCAGAAATAATCAAAAACATAAATATAAAGTAGGTGACACCTGGCTGGGTGGCAGCACTACGAAAAGGACCTGGGAGTCTTGGAAGATCATAGATTCAGTGAGTTTGCAGTGTGATGCATCTGCACAAAAAGTGAATGCAGTTTTAGGATGCATCAGTAGAAGCATTAGGTGCAAGACACAGCGTGTGACTTCACTACCCAGTACTTGTTAGGCCTTCTCTGGAGTACTCTGTGCAGTTCTGGGTCCTACATTTTAAAAAGGACATGGAGAAGTTAGAGAGGGTCCAGAGGCAGGCAAGAAAGACAATAGAGGGCTTGGAAAACAAGTCATATGATGAGAGGCTGAAGGAGCTCGGCATATTCAGCTGGCAGAAAAGATGCTTAAGACGGGTCATGATAGCAGTCCTCAAATACCTGAAGGGCTGCCATAACAAAGAGGAAAAGCACCATTTCTCTCTTGCTGCAGAGAAGACCATGTGGACCAATGGTTTGAAGTTGCAGCAAAGTAAGTTTAGATTAGAAATCAGGAAAAGCTTCTTCACTGTTAGAACAGTGAGGCAGAGGACCAGATGGCCAAGGGAAGTTGTTGACTCTCCTTCACTGGTTGTGTTCAAGAAGAGGTTGGGCAGTCACTGGTCAGGGATGATCTAGAGCCTAGGTTCTACAATGGGTATTTCCCATGCTTCTGGGCCTTGATGGTTGCCAACCTCCCCACTCCCTTTTCTGTTACATATGTCAGAGTGTTTTTAAGCCTTCCTCAGAGGCATTAGGTGTTGGCTGCAGCGAAGGCTGGGGATTGGGACTGGGGTATGCCAGTGCTTCTGCTGGGACCAAAACCAGAGGTTCCTGGCTAGAGGATCTTGCCCCTTTGCTTAGGGTAAGATTTGCTGCCATATTTGGGGTCAGGAAGAAATTGTACTCCAGGGTTAGATTGGTATGGACTGTGGTGGGGTTTCTTTTCCTCTGTAGCATGGGGCCTGGCCCTCTACCCAGGATCCCTTGATCATATATTGACAATATTTCATAGAATCAGGACATTGGCTGCCATAGTTCTCCTGCTTTACCTATGGCACGTTAAAGTGTTAGGTCTGAGTTGTATGAGGGTTGATAGTCTTATGTAGAGTTGAGATAATGGATTGTATGGGGTGGTTTCGACAAGGATGATCCTGCCTCAGGACTAGATGACCTGTGTAGGCCCTTTTCAGCCCTCCTAGTCTATGATTCTATGCAACTCTTTCCAAACAAAACCTTTACAATGATACAACAGATAGGCAGAAATACAGTATCTTGACAACCAAAGTTAGCTTGTTGGGTTCAGGTAGTATTCCATGATGTCTATGCTATTTCCAAAACTTTAGCATTAATACTACAGCATGAAGCTGCATTTATAAGTTTAATTATATAAATTATATCTGAAGGATAAAAAAATATGTTGAGTTTAATATGACGTAAATAGTGAAGGTAAAAAATACTACAGCTTTAAAGATGTAGCAAAACAGTGCTGCAGTTTGAGCCTGAAACAGGGAAATCTATCCATTTAAAAGGGAACGGCCTGGCCTGCTGAGAAAGCCCAGCCACAGGATATTTTGGATAAGCAGGGAGTGTCCCCCTAGGAACTATGACACAGTCCCAGAAGAGTAAGCAGAGGAGGAGCAAACAACCAGAACAACTTCCTACAAGGAAGGGCCAAGCTACCATGCTGGGGCCAAAGCCAAAGGGCATCCCTCCTAGTGTCTGAGACAATGCAGAAAGCCTTGGCTTTGTTTATTTGTTTGCTTGCTTTGTTGCTTAAAGACTGTATTTTAAGCTCCTCAGGGAGCAAAATCCATCTGTAGAAACCAGCAAGCTAGGCAACCCACATACAGAACCCAATTCTATTTCTACTGAAGTTAGTGGCAAAAATCTCCATTATTTATATACAACCAAAAACTGTTGGATTTTTTTTTGGTGGGGGAGGGAGAGGGAATTGGGGCGGGGGTTGTTTTTTTACATCTTTCTTTTCCAATTAAAGCCAGTGAACATTTTGCCATTTCAATAGCTAGGGATCTGGGCTCTATGAGATTTGTAACCTCCAGGTGGATTAGCTTATCAAGCATCACAAATTTTAAATGAAAAATCAGAGCCCTGTAATCCATAGAGTTATCCTCAAAGCATTCTCTGTTACTTTAACCAACTGAAGTCATAGTTCAGACTTTGAAACAAAAGCAAAAGAAAAAAATGGCGTACTGTGAAAAAATTGCATCTTGTGAAATATTTGACCACATATAAAGGAATGAGAGAGATAATCCACTAAATTGATAGAATTTAGAGGCATACAATAGACCAGTAGGGGACATATATAATTCTTAACATTTTAACTTCCTGAACATCTGAAGATGAACAATAAACAGGAAATTTACCTTGATATGAGCTGCTGGATCTGGGACAGTCTGAATCATGTCCTTTAACAGCTCAACGTGTTTCCCAGAAGTTCAGGCCCCAAGGCAACTGCATAACCAAGAAAACAAAAAATCACAAGCATTTAAGCATCTGTATTTTTTAAGTTTATTTGCAAAGGACTCTATTTTCTTTTATGGGGAACAAGGTCTAAGTTTTGTTTCATGCTTGTTCCCCACAGCCCTTTCCCCCCACAGCAATAGTGGCATACATCTGATGTTTGTTTCTACAGACTCAGTTAAAATATTTTACACAGGAGAAAACAAATGTCAGGGGCTGATCTTCTACTTCAGACCCCGGGGAAAGTCGTCAGTGAACTTAACTGATGGTGCATTATACTAAGAGACACAAGGTGACTGGGACAGATTCTCAGATGTAAATGAGCAGAACTTCAATGCAGCTCTGCCCACTCACAACAGCTGAGGATTTGATACATCATCTTGCTCAGTGGTTTTCAAGCTTTTCAGAGTCAAGGCACCCCTTTCCCACTTTTGTTAATGTGGCATCAACCCTGGTTGAGGACCACTCCCGGTGTTGCCTCAACTTACCTCAGTGCTTCTCAACTGGGTGATACTGCCTCCAGGTGGCTGCTGCACAGCCAGCCCAGGAAAGGCTGTGGTACATGCATGTGCTCCTGTTGTAGTAGGGTTCTCTGACAGCCCTAAAGCAGACAGGAGAGCTGCTTCAGGCTGTCAGACTTCCCAGTCTGCTCCCCACCCCCAACTCTCCCCAGAAAGAGGCACACAGGACAGCT